TTCACCCTTTTAAAGCGATTTAATGTAAAATGGTACAGCTGCAGCTGGGTATGGTGGCTCACGATTGTAATCCAGCACTCTGGGGGGCCGTGGCAAGTGGATCACCTGAGGTCAGGAGTTTGAGACCAGCTTGGCCAATACGGCAAAATCCCGTCTCCACTAAAAATACAAAAAAATTAGCCAGGCATGGTGGCAGGCACTTGTAATCCCAGCTACTTCAGAGGCTGAGGCACAAGAATTGCTTGAACTCAGGAGGCAGAGGTTACAGTGAGCCAAGATCACGCCACTGCACTCCAGTCTGGGTGACAGGGCAAGACTCCATCTCAAAAATAAATAAATAAATAAATAATAAAATGATACAGCTGCTATGGACAACAGTACAGCAGTTCAAAAAGGTAAAAATTACCATATGATCCAGCAATCCCACTTCTGGATATTTACCCCAAAGAATTGAAAGCAGGGGCCAGGCCCAGTGGCTCATGCCTGGAACCCCAGCACTTTGGGAGGCCAAGGCGAGCAGATCACTTGAGGTCAGGAATTTGAGACCAGCCTGACCAACACAGTGAAATCCCATCTCTACTAAAAATACAAAAATTAGCTGGACATGGTGGTACACACCTGTAATCCCAGCTACTTGGGAGGCTGAGGCAGGAGAATCACTTGAACCCAGGAGGTGAGGTTGCAGTGAACTGAGAGCCGCGGCTACACTCCAGCCTGGGTGACAGAGTAAGACTCTATCTCAAAAAAAAAAAAAAAAAAAAAAAAAAAGTCTGGCTCAAGCCTGTAATCCCAGCACTTTGGGAGGCTGAGACGGGCGGATCACGAGGTCAAGAGATGGAGACCATCCTGGTCAACATGGTGAAACCCCGTCTCTACTAAAATACAAAAATTAGCTGAGCATAGTGGTGCACGCCTGTAGTCCCAGCTACTCGGGAGGCTGAGGCAGGAGAAATGCTTGAACCCTGGAGGCAGAGGTTGCCGTGAGCCGAGATTGCGCCACTGCGCCCGGCGACAGAGCAAGACTCTGTCTCAAAAAAAAAAAAAAAAGAAAGAAAGAAAAAGAAAGAATTGAAAGCAGGGACTCAAATAGATATTTATACACTCATGTTTATAACAGCATTATTTTAAATAGCCCAAAGGTACAAGCAACCCAAATTGAAGGATGAATGGGTAAATCAAATTTGGTATATGCATACAATGGAATATTATTCAGCCTTAAAAAAGGAAGAAAATTCTGCCACATTACAACATGGATGAACCATGAGGACATACTGTTAAGTGAAATAAGCCAAGCACAAACAATCAAATACGGTGTAATTCCATTTATGTGAGGTATCTAGAGTAGTCAAATTCACAGATATAGAAAATAGAATGGTTGGCCAGGGTTAGGGCGAGGGAACATGGGAGTTATCATTTAGTAGGTACAGAGTTTGCATTTTGCCATTTGAAAAAGTTCTGATGATAGTTGTATAACGTTGTGACTGTATTTAATGCCACTGAACTGTGTGCTTAAAAATAGTTATGATGGTAAATCATATGTGTATTTTGCCACAATGTTTAAAAATAAGAAAATGCATAGTAACAGTATCACCAAAAAAGCATACAATTCAATGGTTTTTAGGTATTGACAGAGTTGTGCAACCATTGTCACATCAACTTTAGAACATTCTCATCACTCCTCAAAGAAACCCAGTACCCATCAATACACTCACTCGCCAGCACCCTTCCCTCCAGTGCTTGGCAACTGAGAATCTACTTTCTGTGTCTATGGATTTGCCTTTTCTGGACATTTCACATAAATGGAACTATATAACATGTAGCCTTTTGTGTGTTTTTTTTTTTTCCGAGATGGTGCCTTACTCTGTCACCCAGGCTGGAGTGCAGTGGCGCAATCTCAACTCATTGCAACCTCTCTTCGTAAGTCCAAGCATTCCTCCCACCTCAGCCTTCTGAGGAGCTGGGACCATAGGCACATGCCACCACACCTGGGTAATGTTTTGCATTTCTGGTAGAGATGGGGTTTCGCCATGTTGGCCAGGCTGGTCTTGAACTGCTGAATTCAAGTGATCTTGCCCCTTGGCCTCCCAAAGTGCTGGAATTACAGGTGTGAGCCACCGCACCTGGCCCTAGCTTCTTTAACTTAGCATAATGCTTTCAAGATTCATTCATGTTATAGCATGTATCACTATTTTATTCTTCCCCCGCCACAGAGTTTTTTGCTCTTGTTGCCCAGGCTAGAGTGCAATGGCACGATCTTGGCTCACTGCAACCTCCGCCTCCCAGGTTCAAGTGATTCTCCTGCCTCAACCTCCCAAGTAGCTGGGATTACAGGTGTGCACCACCACGTCCAGCTAACTTTTGTATTTTTAGTAGATGTGGGGTTTCATCATGTTGTCAGGCTGGTCTTGAACTCCTGACCTCAAGTGATCCACCCACCTCATATTTTATTCCTTTTTATGGCTGAATTAATATTCTCCATTTTGTGTATCCATTCACCAGTTGATGGACATTCAAATTGCTTCTATTTCTGGCTAATTTTTTGATGTCAAAGTGAAATTTATTTTTATTGTATAAATGCAAAAATTACAGGAAAATGTTTTAAAGCTTTAAAAAATGCCTAGTGACATGATACAGGAAAATCACAAAGCAGGAGAACTACACTAAATTAATAAATTTCATTAAAAATGTCTCACTGTATCTCAGATTTTGAAAGATTCCATTTCTGTGGAAGACAGTTGATTCTGTTGAACATATAATGACCCCCAATTTAATTAATAAGTGATGATAGCTACTGATCTATTTCTTTTGGGGAGGAGGTAAGAACAATGTGTATAAGTTCTGTGAGCATGTAATAAACACAATTTTCTGGATCCAGCGTTAGCTTGGGGTTTCTGAAATTATTTAATTTTACATTTTAGATTTGGGGGTATACGTGCAGGTTTGTTACATGGGTGTATATATTATGTGATGCCAAAGTTTGGGCTTCTAATGTCCTCTCAAGTAGTGAACATAGTACCCAATAGGTAGGTTTTCAACCCTTACCTCTTCCCTCACAGCCCTTTTTGGAATCCCCAGTGTTTATTTTTCCCGTCTTTGGGGCCATGTGTAACCAATGTTTAGCTCACACTTATAAGTGAGAGCATGCAGTATTTGGTTTTCTGTTTCTGTGTTAATTTGCTTAGGATAATGGCCTCCAGCTGCATCTATGTTGTTGCAAATGTGGGATTTTATTCTTTTTTATGGCTGCATTTGGCAATTTTTAATAATGCTGCTAATGGACGTTCATGTACAAGCTTTATGTGGACATATATTTTCAGTTCTCTTGGAGATTTAGATATCAGTGGAATTGTTGGATCATATAATTACTCCATGTTTAACATTTTGAGTAATTGCTAAACTTTTTTTCACAGCAACTGTACCATTTAAAAATTTTCCAGCAATGTATCACTGTTCTAATTCCTCCAAATCCTCACCAAAATCTGTTATTATCTGTCTTTTTCATTATTGCCATCCTAGTAGGTTTGAAGTGTTACCTCACTGTGGTTTTGATTTGCATTTCCTAATGACTATTGATGTTCAACATCTTTTCATGTGCTTATTGGCCATGTGTTGTCTGTGCTTTGGGTGTCATATCTTAGAAACCATTGCCTAATTCAATATCACAAAGATGTACCCATCAGACTTTCTCCTAAGATCTGCTCCTCAAACTTTTATAGTTTTAGCTCTTACATTTAGGCCCATGATTCATTTTGAGTTAGTTTTTGTATATGGTGTGAGGAAGGGTCCAACCTCATTCTTTTGCATGGGGATATCCAGAATGTCCCAGCCATTTGTTGAAAAGACTATACTTTATCTATTGAATGTTCTTGGCAGTCTTGTTAAAAATCAATTGGCCATAATTGTATGGGTTTATTTTTGGCTGTCAGTTCTATTCTGCTGATCTATATGGCTGTCCTTTTGCCATTATCACACTGTCTTGAATACTGTAGGTGGTTTTTGTTTGTTTGTTTGTTTTTTGTTTTTGAGACAGGATCTTAATCTGTCACCCAGGCTAGAGTGCTGGGTGATCATAGCTCACTGCAATCCTCAAACTCCTGGGTTCAAGATATCCTCTTGCTTCATCTTCCCAAATAGCTGTGACTATAGGCATGCCCCATCAAGCCTGGCTAATTTTTAATTTTTTATAGAGTTGGAGTCTCACTATGCTGCCCGGGCTGGTCTCAAACTCTTGGCTTGAAGCAATCCTCTCACCTTGGCCTCCCAAAGTTCTGGGATTATAGGCATGAGCCCCCTCACCCAGCCTTGAATAGTTTTGTCATATGATTTGAAATTGGGAAGAGTGAATCCTCCAACTTTGTTCTTCTTTTTCAATATTGTTTTAGCTCTTCTGGTTTTCTGGTGTTTCTCTGTGAATTTTAGGATCAGCTTATTGATTCTGCAAAAAACCAGGTGGGATTTTTGTAGGAATTGTGTTGATTCTTCACATCAATTTGGGTAGTATTGCCACCTTAACAATATTAAGTTGCCTGATACAGAAATATTTAATGTTTTTCCATTTATTTAGGTCTTATTTAATTTCTGTTAACAGTGTTTCATAGTTTTTAGTGTACCAATCCTCCTATTCTTTATTAAATTTATTCCTGTGTATTATTCTTTTTGATGTTATTGTAAGTAGAATTGTTTAACTTTATATTCAGATTGTTCATTGCTAATATATAGAAATATACTTGGTTTTTGTATATCAATTGTGTACCTACAATCTTGTTCGACTCGTTTGTTAGTTTTTATGGTTTCTATTTGTGTGTGTGAATCCAACTAGCTTTTATATCCTCTGAAACACTTAACAGAGTGCAGAGTCTTAACTAGTACTCAATCCATTTGTGTTTCTTCAATTTCTTTAAATGCCACATTGTCACATAAGCCTTCCATCCAGTGAATAACGTTTATCAGTTCACAATACCACTGAGTCATTCTTTTTCTCCTTCAATTTTTATCTGCAGGCTTGGGAACAATGGGCCGAGGCATTGTCATTTCTTTTGCAAGGGCCGGGATTCCTGTGATTGCTGTAGACTCAGACAAAAACCAGCTAGCAACTGCAAACAAGATAATTACCTCTGTCTTGGAAAAAGAAGCATCCAAAATGCAACAGAGTGGCCACGCTTGGTCAGGACCAAAACCCAGGTTAACTTCATCTATGAAGGAGCTTGGTGGTGTAGATTTAGTCATTGAAGCAGTGTTTGAGGACATGAGCCTGAAGAAGCAGGTCTTTGCTGAACTCTCAGCTGTGTGCAAACCAGAAGCTTTTCTGTGCACCAACACTTCAGCCCTGGACGTTGATGAGCTTGCTTCTTCCACAAGTCGCCCTCACTTGGTCATTGGCACTCACTTCTTTTCACCAGCTCATATCATGAAGTTGCTAGAGGTTATTCCCAGCCGATACTCTTCCCCCACGACTATTGCCACTGTTATGAACTTATCAAAAAAGATTAAAAAGATTGGGGTCGTCGTAGGCAACTGTTTTGGATTTGTGGGGAATCGAATGTTGAATCCTTATTACAATCAGACATATTTCTTATTAGAAGAAGGCAGCAAGCCAGAGGAAGTAGATCAGGTGCTGGAAGAGTTTGGTTTTAAAATGGGACCTTTTAGAGTGTCCGATCTTGCTGGGTTGGATGTAGGCTGGAAATCTAGAAAGGGGCAAGGTCTTACCGGACCTACGTTGCCTCCAGGAACTCCTGCCCGAAAAAGAGGCAATAGGAGATACTGCCCAATTCCTGATGTGCTCTGTGAATTAGGACGATTTGGCCAGAAGACAGGTAAGGGCTGGTATCAATATGACAAGCCATTGGGTAGGATTCACAAACCTGATCCCTGGCTTTCCACATTCCTATCACAGTATAGAGAAACCCATCACATTGAACCACGTATCATCAGCCGGGATGAGATCCTGGAGCGCTGCTTATATTCACTTATCAATGAAGCCTTCCGTATCTTGGGAGAAGGGATTGCTGCTAGCCCAGAGCACATTGATGTTGTCTATTTACATGGATACGGATGGCCAAGGCACAGGGGCGGGCCCATGTTCTATGCTTCCACAGTTGGGTTGCCCACTGTTCTAGAGAAGTTGCAGAAATATTACAGGCAGAACCCTGATATTCCCCAACTGGAGCCCAGTGACTATCTAAAAAAGCTGGCTTCTCAGGGAAACCCTCCCCTGAAAGAATGGCAAAGCTTGGCAGGCCCCCCCAGCAGCAAGTTGTGATTCAGCCTCCCAGCTTATGCCCCACATGCTAGCATCAGGTAATGCGCACTGAAGTTCAGTGAAATTAAATCCGAAAATCCAAAGTAAGATTGTTCTGAAATACAAAGCGAAAGAAATAATCAGTAGAGTCTTCTGTGCGACGACGCTAATGGTCAGATCTTTAGGCGTGTGCTTCCCATGCCTCTGAATCTGCCCCTATCAGATGAATTCAGTGCATGAACCTGTGTGAATGTAATACCATAATAGCGGATGAAAGAGGCTCAGGCATAAATGATTCTCAAGTGCGGTGATCGTTGGAGAAATGTGTCATCAATTAATAAATGATAAATGCTGCTAAGTTGTACATTCATTTTGACCCCTTTCAACCTCACACACATAGTAGTGATCAGAAGTCTTATGAATCATACATACACTCAACAAACATTAAAGTTGTAAGAACAACACAGTTGGAAATTGGTAAAGGAACCGAGTACTTCAAACCAGTACAGGGAACTCAGGGTAGTGTGGTAAATCGTGCTCAATATATCACTTCTGTGCAAGCCTCGGTAACGTTTGTTGATCATTTCCCTAAACCCAGGGGATGACCTAGTCTTTCCTCTTCTGTTTACGGAGAAATAATAGAAAGTAGTAAGTTGTTAACTTAGTGTAAGAAGGGTCTTAGAGAACATCTAACCTAGGAGTTCCCAATTCTGTGATAGAGTAATGATACCAGTCCCCTGTTATGATAAGCCTTTGTGATTTTACATATGGAAATGACTGAATCTTGAAAAATCAAAAATTGTTACAAAACATATTTTGTATAATTTTGTTATAAGAGTTCTCTTTTTTACTTTTTGACTTGTGTAGTTAAAAATTAAGGGGCTGGTCGATACAAAAACTTGTACACAAATATTTATAGTAGAATTACTCATAATGGCCAAAAGCTGGATGCAACCCAAATGTCTATTAACTAATGAATAGATAAGCCAAATCTGATGTATCCATGCAGTGGACTATTATTCAGCCATGAGAAATAAAGGACCAGGCACAGTGGCTCACACCTGTAATCCCAGCACTTTGGGAGGCTGAGGCGGAGGATTGCTTGAGGCCAGAAATTCACAACCAGCCTGGGTGACGTAACAAAACCCTGTCTCTACAAAAACTAAAAAGAAATTTAGCTGGACATGGCGGCACACGCATGTAATTCCAGCTACTTGGGAGGCTGAGGTGGGAGGATCTCTTGAGTCCAGGATGTTGAGGCTGCAGTGAGCTGTGATCATGCCACTCCACTCCAGCCTGGGCAACAGCGTGAGACCCTGTCTCAAAAAAAAAAAAAAGTATGTATTGATACATTCTACAAGATGAATCTTGAAGACATTATGCTAAGTAAAAGAAGCCAGCCACAAAAGGCCACGTACTGTATGAACGTTTTTAACAAATGTCCAAAACAGGTGAATCTCTAGAGACAGAAAGTACATTAGTGGTTGCCTAAGGCTAGAATTGTTGGGGAGTGACAAATGGGGAGTACAGGATTCATCTAATGGGCACAGGATTTCTTTATGGTTCATGAAAATGGCCTGAACTTATCGTGGTAATTGTCACATAACTGTATTAAGTGAGTGAATTATATGGTGTGTGAATTATATCTCAATAAAGTTGTTAGTAAATAAATGGGGCTGAAGATGTCATCCTTCAGTGTGGTGTAAATGAACTTTCACAACATTTTCACCTGTGAACTCAAACAAAATGAAAAAGTTCTGATGTGAAAATCTTCAGTATGAATAGAGTGTGAGTTTCCCATTGTTAAAAAGCAAACAAAAGAAAACCAGCAAAAAATTCAAGTGTGCTTTGAATTGTACAGAGCACAATGAATTATATTTGAAATGTATACTACTTCATTTTATATAATTTGGTTTGTGAATTTAAAGAGGTCAATGGAGGTGATTCCTGAAAGTAGTGATTTTGTCTCCAAAGTGATTTGTTTTCAAATTAATGTTAAAAAAAAAAAAAAAAACTCCACTAACTTTTTCTTCAAACCTGGAATTAATTTTATTTTGAGTTCTTATAATTTATTTTCATCCTACACTAGCCTCTAGATTAAGGTCTTGAAACTAGAGGGTCTGTGAATAGATTTTATGACTCAATAATCCTTGAAATGTTATGGTAAAGTTTGTGTATATGTAGCTGAGTGCATTTCTTGGAAGAGGTACCATATCTTACATCGTATTCTAAAAGGTATCATAATAAAGGTTAAGGACCAATAGAAAGAGGGAAGAGCTGCTGGATGTGGTGGCTCATGCCTGTAAGCCTAGCGCTTTAGGAGATCAAGGTGAGCAGATCACTTGAGATCAGGAGTTCAAGACCAGCCTGGCTAACATAGCGAAACCCTGTCTCTACCAAAAATACAAAAATTAGCTAGGCATGGCAGCGCATGCGTGTAGTCCCAGCTACTTGGAAGGCTGAAGCAGAATAATCACTTAAACCTGGGAGGCAGAGGTCGTAGCGAGCCAAGATCACTCTAGCCTGGGGAACAGAGCAAGACTCCATCTCAAGGTAAAAAAAAAGAAAGAAAGAAAAATGGAAGACGAAATATGAGTTTATTCCTTCTTATTTTACATCAAATGAAGCCAAACTAATTCTAATTTGCTGAGTCCTGCATATAATAGTAGTTAATGTAATGAAATGTTTCAGGATATCCTCTCCCGTCCTTGAAAATACACTTGCTTAAAAGGCTGATTTGGTTAATAATTTTAAAACATATTTTTTAAAAGAAAGCTCTGGATTACATTTTTAAAAATATTTTCTAATGAGAATTGACTCTGATGGGAATTATATATTGGAAACACCCTTGAAGCTGAAAGACACCTAGCTTTAAAGATGCTGTTAATGATGATCCTTAAGTCAGTAAAGCCGCCATGCACCTGCCGTTTCTCTCTATTTGTTTATTTCCAGCAGGAACAGGTGTGCATGAAAGCGATAAAGTCAGGAGTCTTAAATTCTCCTGATTAATGATGTTACAGAATTGTTAATGCAGATCATACTCTGCTGCACTGTAGGAACCTATAGCTTTGTCTTTAAAATAGACACCTGGAAATCAGAAATATTGCAGCCTCACTGGATTATCTGCACCCTTTTGGTAGCCATTGATAAGGTTAAATCAAGTTCTCTGGACTACCTTTGAAAGCAGTTTTATGCAAGAACAGAATAGCTCTTGAGTATTCTTGGGACCGTCGGTACCATCTGCTTATCTTACCAGCTTATACATATTTTGAGAGGAACAGACAAGTTACACTGCTTCCAGGCAGGACAACAGCATTGCACAACCGTGCACACCATTCATATGTGTACTGAGGGGTTGTCATCCACATAGAAATGATGTCAACAACATCCCCTGGAATTGTCTAATTCCTAGTTTTGTTTTCAGGACACTCTGTGTAGCAGTTTCAAGCCAAAAACACTTCTGGTTGTTACTTTCTAAATAATGGCTGGCAAAAGTGGCTGGAAAAAATCTCTATTTAGACTGGATCACCACTGGGATCAAATTTATAAGAAATGGTTACATTTTGTTTGTTCTTTTTAATATTATTTTCCTAGCACCCTGAGAAAGAGGAGTATGAGAGAGATGAACATAACTTTTAATTCTTGTCCAAAGAATTCCAGGGCATTTATTTTTTATTTTTTGTAGAGACTGTGTTGCCCAGGCTAATCCCAAATTCCTGGGCTCAAGCGATCCTCCTGTCTCGGGCTCCCAAAGTGCGGGGATTACAGGCATGAGCCACTGCACCTGGCCTCCCAGGGCATTTCAATTGAAATATTTATTTTTTCTCTTTCACCCAACTTAAAGTAGCCTGGCAGAATGAGTGCCTGGCAGCATCTCATGAGATAACATGAACAGAGCTCATGCAGTCACTCTTGTACACATTTTCACTGCACTTAGGGCTATTCCACATTCTCCAAGAGGACATGCAAACAGTTGCTAATTCCAGCTGTAATGTGATATCCCTAGGATGAGCTTAGGGCAAAACCTTCTCCAACCGATCCTAAAGGGACATGGATTTCCAAAGCCGGTCAAGGCCTGGCGTGTTATTGATTTATGAATTGACTGACTGTTGGCTCTCCCCCAGAATTTATCTTCTTATGTAGGAATAAATGTCCCAAATTTTAGCTAAGCATATAGTTGCCCAGAATACACAACGTATTTGTCAGCTTCTCTTATATGAAATTGTGGACACGTGACTAAGTTCTAGACAATGGGGTGTCAGAGGGAGTGTCACATGGCAGCGTCTGGGAACCGGCCTTCACAGTCAGATGATGTGCAGCCTTTGCCCATTTCTTTTTTTGTCTCTTCCTTCATCTTTCTGCGGGGAACACAGACGTGATGGGTGGAGCTGCACCCACTAGACTAGACCGTGAAGACAGAGGCCATGCCCTGGAATGAAGAGCAGTAGAGAGCTTGGGTCCCTAAGGAGCTCATGGAGCACCATTGCCACTCACTCTACCTTCCAGCAGTCATTTATGTGGGAAAGCAATCAACTCCTATAATGGAGAATTTGGTGTTAAGTCTTTACTCATAACTGATCCTAATCTGAATGAATGCAAGTGGAATCCAAAAATGAGTAAGATTTGGGGTTTTTTGTTTTTGTTTCGGGTTTTTTTTTTCCTCAGTGCTATAGACAATTCTGAAACACAGCTAGTTTTATTTATTTATCTATTTATTTAGGGGTGGTGTTTCATTCTTGTCACCCAGGCTGGCATGCAATGGTGCGATCTCGGCTTGCTGCAACCTCGGCTCACTGCAACCTCCGCTTCCTGGGTTCAAGTGATTCTCCTGTCTCGGCCTCCAAAGCAGCTGGGATACAGGGTCATGCCACTATGCCCAGCTAATTTTTGTATTTTTAGTAGAGACAGGTTTTCACCATGTTGGCCAGACTGGTCTCGAACCCCTGACCTCAGATGATCTGTCCACCTCAGCTTCCTAAAGTGTTGGAATTACAGGTGTGAGCCACTGCGCCCGGCCGCATAGGTAGTGTTAAGAATCTGGTCTCATTAAACAAAAGTGTTTTTGCCAGTCTGATGTGTTTTTCAACTTGATGTTGAATTACTCAGAAATTTTTATATGTTCCACATATAATTGTTGTGTGCAGACGGAGATGCTTACTAAGAACCTGAGAATAGGGCTTTAAACAAACATTTAGTAGGAGATAGTCTCACAGGCCTACTTGACCCTCAGAATGACTGTTTTTTAATTAGAAATGAAAAACATTCATGAAGAAAATACGTATTAACAAGGATAGGTGGTCAACAGCAGCATGAAGGAAAAGAAGAAAAATTGGGAAGGCAGTATCTCTCAGC